TTTATGGATTGAAGAGTCTATATATCCTTGTTCGTATGTTAAAAATAATGGTTTGAGAAGCGTTTAGTGCTAACTGGTATTGTGATCATACCAATGATGACCGAGTGTGTGACCTGGGATATATATGGATAAATGTTTTAGTGGTGTTGCACTGGTGAAGTGGATTGGGGTGATTGTTTTGTGCAATTGTGGCGGTGACAAATTTGGTTTTATGGATTGCTGCAACAACCAATTATGACTTTTTAGAAAGTTTTCCATTGTTACTCTTCAAGTTATCTTTTTTTTGGTTATTTTTTCTTGGTGTAGTGTGTGAATTTGATGCAACTTAGATGAGAGATTTTTTTGCTTTGTTTAATTTTATAATAGGTTCGTAATAGCCATAAAAAGCAAATAAAGAGCAAGAAGGGTACTCAAAATTGTTATGATGTCTTTATAAATTAATTGGGGTCTACTTTGACGCAAAACAAATAGATGGTTAAACTATAATTCTTTTTTTTTTTTTTTTTATAACCAATGGAAAATATAATGAGAAATGTGTGTGATTTCATGTGGGTTTGTGTGTTGTCCAAAGAAAATAGTTTGTTTTTTGGTCATTGAATGCATGAACATTACTGGGTCTATGTTATAGTAGTTGGTAAATCTTTTTATTAAGCCAGGATTGTGGTTGGTGGATCCCAATTAATTTTAACTTGGTCGAAAATCAATCGGAGCTCGAGTTTCAACTTTGTTTAATGGATTTTAATTAACAATTTTTTTTTTGTGTATTATAAAGTGCCTTTAGGCATGACAACTAACTAAGAGACACAATATATTGATTTTACAGGTAATTTGGCTTCTACGGGATGAGGGAATGTACTTAGTTATTGATATTAGCCTCAGTTTGGTGTTAGTTTAGTTTATAATTTGTATCTTATTCATTTTATATTATATTATATTGCAGTAGTTGATAAATAGTGGTAATAGTGATATTAACGTGATGTGATAAGATTATTGATTTAATGTAGTGTTTATTTACATAAAAGTTTGATTATGAGTTGTACGATAGGTTGGTATTGTCAATTAGATCATGTTTTCAAGGAGAACTCTATCAAAAAAAATTTAAAGATAAAAGTTGGTTTATATTAACTACTGAGATTTTATGTGTTACACAAATTATTTTGATTTGATATTCACATGTATAGTCATAACTATACGTAATATATTATTGGTAGTAGTATTGTTGAACATGTGGTTTTATGTGTTAAACCAATTATTTTGATTTGTTATAAAGAAATTTATATTTCTCAGTTTCCTCGGTGATGTCTCTTTTATTTGGTATGCCTTTTAATTAGCCACAATTTTTTTTTTGTTATTCTGTGCTTTCAGGCACAGGCAATTACTAGTATATATATATATATATGAAGAAACTGATTGTATCTTTTTTTTTTTTTTATAGGGTATTTAGACTTACAACGATTATTCTTTCAAACTCAATGGTTGGTTACCGTGATTTGAGCTAAGTTAGAGCAAACGACAAGGATAATTAGTTTTTAGAGGGTGTGAAAAAAAATTGAACCGAGAGTTCTAAGTTACAAAATGTCACATTCAACTACTAAACCACTATTAAGGCTTGTGATTATATCTTTTTTTTTTTTTTTTTATCACAGCACAAAAAAAAAAAAGCGCACAAACCTTAAAAGTCTATACACCCAATTTATACAACTAATAACTTTCTCAACTTTTTGAAGAAGATCAAATGCAACTTTGTTCTTATCAGCTTAATATCGGACATACAACTCTAATAACCTTGAAAAATGGTGGTCATTATTTCTTTCTACTTTTATTAGTCCTAAAAATTTAGAGTCAATCCACGTCAACAATACACAATTAACAAATTTAGATAATTCTAATGGATTTAGGCAACGAAGGGTGGACTCAACAAACCTACTTATTGAACAGATTGACACGAACCATGCTAATGGACATATGTATTGTACGTATCTAACGATACGCTACTATAGATGCGTCGATTATATAAATTGAATAAATTTTAATTCAACATCACTTAAATGCATCCTAGTGTTCTTAATTTTTTAAGACCTGCCAAATTTTAAAAAAAAAATTACATATTCTTTGCGGTGTCTAAACCCATGCAGTAATTATGTCGGGCCTAACCTGTAACAGATTTGCTACACACCATTTAGCCCAATTAATGAAGAAAATATTGAGTGTTCCGGTTACATCACGTTAACCGTAAATAATAAAGATTTGGAATGTTCTTTACAAATTTAGGGTTTTTTGTGTCAAAATAAAAAAAAAATAATTTTATATATATATAAAATTCTCAAAATATGAATTTTAAATTTTTTTACGCCACTAATAATATTTTATAAATATAATAAACTAAAAAATAATGTGGGATCCACAAAAAAACCCCAAAATTTGAAAAAAAAACTCATAAAATTAACTTTTTAATTTAACCTAAATTAGTCTTTTTGGGTCCAAAAAATTGCTGCTTAAACTGATAAAAATCAAGGTCTAAACGAACCCCATTTCAAAACCCTTAAAAACTACCTATTTAAACTAAGTTCCAATCTGACCCATTGTGTTCAATTTTAAACAGCAACATGCTTAGAGCATCTCTAATGAAGACTCAACGCTTTACCCAAATTTGAGTGAAAAAAAGGTAAAAAAATTTGATTGGATATAAACCTCTTCAATGGACAAATCTTTATTAAAAGAAGAGAAATTCAAATTTAAATGAGAACAAATCTAAATTTAAAATAGTGTAAAATATGACCATTGAATTTTTAAAGAAGAGTGTAATTCCATCATTAAAACTTTGGGTTTAAAAAAGCACTTTTCTTGATTTGGGTTTAAAGAAAAGTTTCCTTTCATTTAGTATGATATGAGTCTAATATTGTAGAAGATTTTTGAAAGTTTTTTTTACTCTTTTCTAAAAGAAGGTTTAAAAAAGAGTTAGGATTGGAGATGGTGTTATAATTTCCACCTCTTTAAACCAAGTTTATGCTACCAAATTCATGGAACATGGTTGGAAGATTCCCTTCCATTGCATCTCCAAACCCGCACTAAACTACGGACACAACGGACTGGGATCGAATTGTGACGTTTTAGGTTTTGTTTGGAAGAGCAAAAGCTGTTTCTAAGTTTGATCTTTACGACCTTAGCTTTTGTATCCGGGCTTTATTGTTTTTTTTTTTATCAACCGGGCGTTATTGTTTAGTACATCTTTCAGATTCCTCCTCATTGTTTTCATGCACAACTTAGTGTTTAAACTCCGATGTTTATCTTCAACAATTGCATATCTAAATGCATATATTCGTATAGGAATTTTTCAATCATTGATACTAGGGGAGTTGAAAGAGCAAAGCCGGAATTAACCTCTCCTTAGTTATGAACTAGATCGCAATTAAACAACACATTAAAACAGAAGAACATAGAACGTGCGAGATGATGTAGGTCTGCTCCAAAGTTTGCATTCATGGACGAATCTATCAAACATGAAAATTATAAACAGTTACGTATCTGCCACGAATTTATAATATCAATTGCAACCCAAATATTAGTCTGCTTATAGAATTGGTTTTAAGATGCTGGGAAGATTAAATTTCCTAAGAACCACCAGTCTCTTATTCAGATTGCATTCCAGAAAAAAAATTATTCCAAAAACCATTTCTCAATCATAATTCAACTGGTTTCAAGTTGAAAATGGTGCGAAACAAAGTGAAATACAAGACATCTAGAACATTTTCTCTTTTTTCAAAGCACTATGGACAAATAAATCTATCAATGTGGACAAATTTTTTTTTTTTTTGGGTCAAGCACCATTACAAGGGAGGGGGACGACGAGATTCAAACTTGCCACCTTAAGGTCCAACAGCAGGGGCAATGCCGTTAGCCCAACCGCTAACCTAAGGTGAACAAAAGTTTGACTTCAAATGTATATATAGCTGGTGAAATATCCTGCAGTATTAATGTGAAAAACACCAGTCAGTTCTTTATAATGGAGTCAAACACAAAGCTGCAAAATCAATGGGACAGAGAGAAGAACAAGCACTTTGAGAGATTTAGAAAATGATGATTAAGGAGTACTCCATAACAGAAAATGTATATTCAAATACTTCCACCATTTTCTCTGTTATTTTGTCATCTATGCACTGTTTGAGTACCTCTACAACATTGTTGTTAATTCAATCAACCTTGAACTGAACTTGTGATGTTATGACAACAGCTAGGGAGTACCAGGAAGAGAGAGCTTGTCAGGACTAAGAACATATGGAGGGACGTTTTGTACTTTTCCTAAAGATAATTCTGTGAGCCCATCAATCATGATTTGGAGAACTTCCACCAAAACAAACTCAATTATTCAATAGTATCATGTATGGATCACATTCTCAGTGAGCAGCTGTCATAAAGTAGTGGTGGTGGGGGGGGGGGGGGGGGGTGCTCCTTTTGGAGAAAAATGAGACTTATGGGTATCAAGTTTGATCAGAGATATTGTCTTGTTTGAGTTTAGACAGGATTGCATTACCACATTTACCCACACCAACCCACCTCAATTAGGTGTTTATCAAGGCTGGCAATCCTATAAGTAGAAGAATGTGGCTCCCTTAATGGCTTTAGGCTTGCTCTGCATTTGATGATGTCCATCTCCATGTGTTTGTCCGAGTGCATGCCCTCGGGCCCTCTGGTGATTTGTGTACGCGCGAGCCCACGAGTGAGATTGTTTGGTATTTGCTTATTAGTATGAAGCCTTTTGAGAAAACCATAATGTTGAAAAGTTTTCTTGATTTACCGGGAGTGGTACTTATGTGATTCAGACTGATGTCTATAAACCACAGGAGCATACTGAGATAACATAGGTTCTTGATTGTAATAAGGCTTATTTTCAGGTTAATTTTCAGTAATCTGACAGATTAGATTCAGCAGTAATGAATAGAGAGTATGAGGGCCTACTGAAAGCAGGGTTCTGTGAATGGTAGCAAGATTCTATAGCAGACCACAAGTCTCATTTGTCACTGATACTGATGACACAGAATGAAAATATATAAAAAGAAAAACATAACAGTTTTTAACATTTATGTTCTCCGGTTGTTTCCCACTGCATTGACAGGGACCAAATAACAAGTAAGAAGATTGAATAAAGAAGAAAGGAAACAAAAGATCCTTAGAAATGTAGTGCCTTTTGCTTTTACATGCCCCATTCTCTCTCTCTCAACTGCAGCAACAGAGACAGAAGATATGATATAGGCAGTTCCCATTGCTACTTTCTTCCCTGCAAACCACCTGTGAAGACATGAACAAATACAAAAACAAGGGAGAAACCATAAAAGACAAATTAGGACCATAAATATGAAGCTTCTATGCTTTATCTCAACCATGTACATATTATGGCTAACCTGATTTCTCAGAAGCTGCTTTACCAGGCTTTAAAGGCTGCAAGAAACCAAACTGCCTCTTTATTGCAGATTTTCCCTGAAAATTAAGAACATAATATCATATAACACTAATATGGTTTTAGGGAATAGAGAGAAAAGAAATGAAACCCAGGTGCAAATGAGGAAGAATTTTTATTTCCACAAAGTAGATAAATTAGAACCTTAAATTTTGTCTCAGAAACGCCTTGAGAGACTCCCTGGACATGCTGCAGTGAAGCTTCATTGTTGGGAAAACCCCTATTTTTCTGGAAAATTTTTTGACAAACATGTATGAAAATAGGAACTTAAAAGGGCTTAAACTTTATACAAGTAGTAATTCTGTTTTCATTGGACTTGCCTTGGAAAAGCTCAAGAAATGGGAGTTAGCAGTATCATCAAGATATGAATTTTGTGGCTTCCCACCATGTTCTACTCTATTTTTCTGCTTGTTCTTATTTACTTGTTCAGAATCTGAAGAAGCAAAGCCGAAAAACCCAGTTCCATCAAAGCAATCTTCATTGACATGTGGAGGCCCTGATGATGCATCAGACACCATGGACAAATCCTCATCTTCTTCTTCCTCATCCACATTTTCTCCTTTACTTCTACAATCTTCACCAACTCTGTGGCATTGTTCTGCAGAGTTTGAGAATTGATCTAAGTACATAGTCCAACCAGATTCACACCCACTGCTGCATTCAGAAGCTGACATGTTCATTGTTAGCCTCCCTTACCTGCTAGTTTTGTTTTTGGTTCTCTGTATAAGTAAGAGAGAAGAAGAAGAGTAGAGTGATAAATAACCAGAGAAATTGCACTCAAATCCTATAGACTGCTTTTGTCCTTTGCTCCAACCTTTGGCCTTATTATTTTTATTTACTTCGTAAATGAATCAAAATTGCCAGTTGGCTTGTTCTTGGAGAGAGAGAGAGAGATGAATCATTCGCTTTTGGCAATTGGTAGTGGTAACAATGGTGATTACTGGAAGGTTGCAGTTTCATCCACATTTGTGCAATAGCCAGCTCAATGCCAACCGTGGCACTATGTCATGGTACAATGATCATGCCTTCCTCTCAACAAAATGACTGAAGGCTTCTTATGTAAATCTTCAACCAATGTCTCCTAGTTGATGAAACCAATCAGTATTTATACATTGATTAGCATGTGGATGATTGCAATAATAAATAGTCAAATAGCATCATCATTGTGTGTGCATTCAAACTTCAGTACAATTTCATCTGCTGAAAATGAAGTTAAAATCTTTTTGGTCATCCTGGCCTCACAGACAGCATCCAAGTCACTCCATTTTAGAGCAAAGTGGAGTGAAAACTGAAAAGTTTCATGTCACATGTCATTGTAACTCATCCAAATCCGTAGTTAAAAATATAAATTACAATGACAAATAACTAGGCGTTTATTGTCATAGTCTATCTAATTTTGATGATGAAATAACCACTTACGTGTTTAAAAACGTTATGAGCACATTCTAAGTTGTAAAATTAATTCAGGTAGAACCATTAACTTATGACAAACTTTTTTGGTAGAACCCTTTTGAAATTCCAGTATTTTTGATATAAAGTTCAAAACAACCATAAATTCTATAGGAAGTGTTGGGTTTATAGATGTTTGTACATTGGATGAATGATGTGGTAGATTGGACACAAGAAGTTTGACTTTCTGCAGTCTCCTTGCTGGTAAGTTGAAAGTTGCTTTGCTGCTATAACAGCCACTGATGACTTCATTTCTGCTTTTAAATGGCCATAAATGGGAGGCATTGTCTTCATCAGCACTTAGCATTGTACATTGTGTGCTTGATTAAAAAATTTTCCAATCAGAATAGTATTAACACCAAGTGCCTTTCATCTCTTCCATGAGGCTATAGGGTTCTGGTACCGAAAAGTCTTTGTTTTATCACACCAAAAAACTATTTGCAGCTTAGCCATTTACAACCATTTATCGTGAAAATAATAAAGTTTATTGCCATACTCAAATAAGAAAGCTTTACAGGCGTCCCATGAGAGTGTTGTAAGATATATAGCCTTTTCTGAAGTCCTACATTCACTCAGTCACTCTTGTTATGGGAGAAAAAATGACTTAGTACAAGGACAGGATAAAAAAACCATAATAAAAGTTCACCGCACCACCCTACGGCTGTGCCTTGAAAGAGACACCACCATTACTTTTTTTTTTTTTTTGGGTTCAATAATCAGGGTGTTCGGACGAGTTTACACGCACTTCTACTAATCCCCTCTCCGGTCCGATTAAAGACAGGTCATCCATGCCGGGACTAGAGTATCCATGAGAGATAATTTCCTAATAGCTTGGCCCCGAGAGATGACAAATTCGAACTCAGAACGTCCGAATTTCTATCTCATCTCTATTATCACTTTACACTTGGGTAGAGACACCACCATTACTGCTATAAGGCAAAAAGAGACCAAAAAAAAGCCTAAAACTAGGGGTGAAACTCTCTCCTCCAGCTCTTCATGGGGTTGTTATAGGGTACACTTATGACTCAGCTGGTCCCAAAATCTATTCTCATGTGCACATGCCTTTGGAGTGCTGCTTACCTTGACTTAAGCTAGTCCATTTGTGATCACTCTGTCACAATGAAAGTTTGGCTTGTCAGTGGATTCTCTCATTCCACCATTTATGGTCTTTCTTCTTGTTACTGAAAAAACCAATGGCTCAACTTTTGACAAATCCAAGTGGGCTGGGGGGTTTTCATGTATTGCTGGAGTTGAGTACATTTCTCTATCCTCAAATTGAATTGGGTTAGAACAGAGAAAAATTGAAAGATTAACTCTTGCATTCGATCTAAAAGAATGGATTTGGCCGATTCAAAATTTGTAGTTAGTATAGGTTATTTCAAAATTGTTTATAGAAGCATTGAAGGGAAATAGTGAATCAAGTTGTTTGCAAGGGCCAACTTGGTTCTTTGAACAAGGAATACGGTTGTCATCCAAATCCAACCCAGTTCCTCGTCCTCTTTTTTTTTTGTAACCACGAACAACCATATAACTTAAGACTTGAGACTATAACGTAAACTCATATGCCTACATAACAATGCTTGTCCAGTGATAATGTATGGGCATTCCTGGACTCTTGACTTTGCTAATGTGGTCCTTGGGAATGTGGATCAATCAAGTGTCTCTACTCTACCAGCTCTCAAAAGTCTCCACCTACAACAGGACTGTTTTGCAGTCAAAACCAAGAATCCAATACAAAACAAACCAAGTCTACATCAATAGAAGCAAATCTCCATTCTCTACCATGCAATGTATCAGTCACATGCTCTAGAACAAGAACTTTGTCTTCTTGTTTTTTTTTTTCAAACATAATAAAGCGTAGCAGAATAATACAGAAATAAAAACAAAATTTAGAAAAGAAATAATAGCTGCACTTTCCCCATTTTTGGGCCGGAAATATGGATCTGAGGTTTTCTGGCCACCCTATTGTGTGTACCCTGTCACATGCAAAATAAGAATGGCCGGTGCGATAAGTCCAATACCTTTAGGAGCAATCACGAGCGTAATGGCCACCGCCCAGTTATTGAATTTGAAAGTCACATGTTTGAAATTCGTTTTTTTTTTTCTCAATACTTAAACTTGTCTTATCAATTGTATCGAGTCTTATTGAATTCGTGTCTAAAAAAGTACTTCATTGATATCCGATTTGCTTATTAATTGTTATTTAACGAATCGTGTCATATCGGGTTTGTATCGTGTATTTTTTTTGATTGATTTCACTTATATCCAATTTATTTATTAATTGTGTCGTGTTGACTCTATTCATTTATTTAACGAGTGGCTTATGGAAGACAAAAATCATCTAATTTAGTTAAGTGTGTGTATTGTGTAATGACAATGGTTTTGACTCATTTATTAAATATGTTTAATACATCGGCACTATCGTTATCAAAACTCATTAAAATTAAAATTCTATTCAATAGTTCTATATCAATTTTGTCTCTGATTCATGGGTCATTTTATGAAACAAACTCATACATTGTGAAAGCCAATGGAAATTAAGTGTTTAATGCAAGCATATGAAATTGAGTTGGCCATATAATTACTTTTAAGGCTTTAACCTTTTCTTGCTCTTTGAAACGCCTTAGTTATTACGTTAATTAAATAACCAAGAGTCATTAGGTCAAACAGCTTTCATAGCTCAGTTGGTTAGAGCACCCGTTTAGTAAGCGGGAGGTCTTGAGTTCAACTCTCAATGAAAGCAAAATATTTATCTTTTTCCCATGCTCATCACTTATGCTTTCTGCTGTCTCTTCTATTTTCATCCCTATTCATAGATTTAGTTTAACGGTTATTACCCCAGTTGTGCCCTTTTTTTTTTTGTAAGAACGATAAATCTTATGTACAACTCCGGGAAATTATGGTTCAAAGTAGTAGTATCGATCATCGATTTGGATATCTCCGAAATTCAAGTTATACCACAGCATTGCGAAATCATATCAACCAATTCGACGACAATAACTCGACAACTTGAGATTGATTTGGATACAATTCGACTGAGGAGTACGAGACTCGGAGTTTTGGTTGCCAACTACTCACGAATTTGATTCACATTTCTTTGTAAGGATTCATGATTTAGTATTCAACAGCCTCTAGAAATGAGAAAAAAAAGACAATGCAAAAGATCTAGAAATTGGTTGATTAGGAATGGCCGGTTTTGAGGATCTTGAACTAGGACATACTCACATTTTCATTGAAGAAGTTCCTCAAATGATTCAAAACCAGTGGCTTAGAGGGCCTCTGGCTGGTTCGTATTCAAAATCCACTTATCTACAATAGGGTGCCACGCCTGACATGCCCCATTCGAAAGAAGACAAGAGGCATGAATGAGGTTGAGATGAGAGCAGCAATGCCTGCATAGTCAAGCCTGGTTATTACGTATGAAAGGCGTTCTCATGTGGCAGGCAAGAAGTGACGTGCTACTGGCTAGCCACCAGAAGATAGCTCCACACAATAAGGCAAGGAAGGGCCACCTTGTGATAGGCTGAATTACGAGAGAAGCAATAATGGTGACCAATTCAACGTTCACATTTTGCCGCATTAAAATGGAAAAAGAAAGAGACACGAATTCTCAAGAATTTAGGGCAAAAATCAGTCACAAGACGAGAATTTGCTGTTAAAACTGCAAGTCACATCAGTTTTTAAGTGGTAGTATGGCCTAAAAGGCTTCCTCATTGAGCAGATGCAGCCGATTTTTTATAAATCAATTTCCTGCTTGAAATACCATTGAACTATCAATACTGCTTTGATCCCTCAACAAACTTCAATACCTAGGTTGTCATTGCAAGAGAAAATAACACACAACCACATAGGATTTTGAGCATGAAGTCCAATCAAGATATTCAATATAGACGGTTATCTGAACATATAGTAGCCAAGCAAAGGAGAGGTAGTGGGACTATAGAAGAACTACAGTGGTAAACCATTACTTTCTGACCTATAAAGACGGAAAAAGCTTATTGAGTTTGCATGGCAGTCTATAGAATTCATCACTCCTAACATCTTTGGTATATAAAACAAACTTCTCCCACCAATGCAAGCCACTGTCTTTATGATGTTCATCATCCCCATGGGGGAGAGTGCAATCCAATAATAGAGCAACTACAGCAGCCACTGTCGCGTGGGACATGAAGATGACAGATATAATATCGTTAAACTGCAATTCAGTAAAAAAAAATTCACTTAAAAATTTGATCTTGGCAAGTAATAACAAATCAAATAGGCAGACTAGGTCTGGTTTGTGGATACTTACCCATCTAGCATGAGTGTGAACAGGACCAGTTCCAGAACTTAGTTGATGTTCTCTGAAGTATTGTGGTAGTGAAAGTCCCAGGGAAAAAGACAAGCCTAGAACGAATTTTGTTCTGAAACTGTTCAGGTTACAGAATTGAAGGTGACTGAGCCCTGCAGAAGCTGCATACAAAGCATAATAGACTTTAGTGAAAATTCTCCAAAATACATGATCATGTATTGCATGTGAAATTCTTGACAGTTCTATACAAAATCACCAAAGAGATGAAAGATACGTACAAACATAGCCGAAGAAAATGCAGTATAAAGCTGCTATTATTGGCAAAGGTATTGAAGAGAAAATTGCTCCAAATTTTCCTGGACAACAAATCAGCATGATAAACTGTTAACAATATCTAAAATGCCTTTTGGCATGTGGAAAAATATAAAACCTAAAACAAGTGGATACACTGTTTTCTTCGCTTAGTCAAGTAGTATTATAAGTTATAACATGATCAAAATTCTAAGTTGCTTTGGTGGCATTTCTGTCTTCACTGCTTGAAATTGGTAAAGTGGTTTTAGAGACGGTAATATTTCCTCCTTACTACTTCATACCAATCTTAAAATATCACTACGCTGCCCCCACAGTGATTTCTTCTTCTGAACAGAAATGTAACCAAAAGGGCTTCTAATTTGATCTAAATTCATAACTGTCCCAGTTCTCCATACAAGGGGGAAAGAGTAGCATACCGAAGATAGAGAAGAAAATCATAAACACTGCTGATATTTGTGCAACTCTGCGACTTCCAACTCTTGTCAACGCGAGTAATCCAGCATTTTCACTACAAACATTTTAAACGACGTAAACATAAGTATTTGGAAAATTACACTATTGAGCATCATTAAGGTCTGCCAATAAATAGAAATCAATATAGATGATCAATGATTCACTATCCATTGCAAAGGAAATCTCTCGTGACGTTTAAGAAACGTGTGTTTTACTTTAAATTAGCAGCCTGTGTGATGCAGAGCTGCTGTCAGTATCATTCATGAAAAACTATAGTCAAATGGTTCTGTTCATGGCACTAATAATATGGAAAGTGAGTCATACCACCAGGTTAGGTCAATAGTGACAAATGTTCACTCCCAAAGGGGAGAAATGTTAAGGCATGGTAGAGCAGTTTATGTACATGGTTCTCACCTAACTCAAGTGTACGAAAATTTGTATTACTAAAGTATCGGTTTCTTACACTGATGCAGTTGAACCAGCTACGCTACCAAAAATACCACCCAGCAAAGTACCAACCCCCTGAAATTCAAGGACTTAGCTTTTGTGAGTGGGAAGAACTTCTGAATGTTAAGAACAATATAAGAATCACCATATTAGATGTGCAAGCAACATCACAAGATTAAATCCTACCAGCCAGCCAACACCTCGACTGACCACAGAAGGTGGTACAGGTGTGGCACTCCCATATCTCGCCGTTGCCAGAAATGTACCTGTAGACTGCAAGAGACAAAGGGTCAAATAATCAATTCAAAATGTTAAGAGTTGTTAATCACATCTCTGTTCGTGTGGATTTTAAGCATAACTTCACATCAACATTACGGGTATAAGAACTTACCCAATTAATAAAAATGCATTCAACTAGCTCTTGAAAGTTTGAACTAGTACTCAAAAACACATTAAAAAGCATTTGTTAATGTTAAGTAAGCGAAATATGGTACAGAATAGAGGAATTGCCATCATAATAGAACCTGGTTCTCTTATTTGTAAATTCAACAAACGGGGGTGATAATCTACTATTATTGTTTTTACTTGTAAATCTTATATAACGAAAGTGAAGGGATAAGGGTCCCATATTATCGTCTAATAGTCAAGGGATACAGTAGAAGTTCTGTAAGGACTAAGGAGTGAACCTCAATAGATGCAACAAAAGCAGCAGCCATCGTAGCAAAGGCTTCTCCAGCTCTAAAAGTAGGACTTCCCCATTGGAATGGGTAAGGAACATATATCCTGCAGGTAGTGACACAACACAATTATAAAAAAGATCGAAGAACATGAACTTCTGGTAGTAGTAGGGAATCCCATAAACAATCTGTAAACAACTTGATTTAACAGTTTAAGCTCATAGTTCCATAATGATTCATTAGTCAGCAACCTAATTAAGCTCCAATGAATTTGGAAACTTTTCCCTCAATCTTACTACTTTTTTAGATATGTCCTAGATTATTAATGGATATTTCACTTGTGATTAGGCTGTTGAGACAGAAAAACACATACATAAATCCAGGAGATACATTTTATGTCGGTGGCTGGCTGGATAGATTCAATTTCACTTTCTTTGTCAACGACTGATTATTTTTTCGTTGATTATTTTCTGGCACGTTTCACTTGTGGCTAATGTAACTTCAAAACATGAGTATTCTCAGAATATTGTGGTCTTAGTGAGACACATAAAATGGAGAAAGATCAAAGGGAAGCAGAGACATTCGACTTATGGTGACACCATCATCAGTGGAGTGATTTGGTTAAATTCACAGAATACTTTGATGACTAAAACCTTGTGTTTAAAATGCATCTAAGAAACTTTTTTTTAAATGGGTTTCATTCACTCATTTACCAGGTCATACTATGCGAAAAACATGATTTAATCCAGTGATACTAAGAACAATTGAAATCGATTCTAGACTATTTACAAAGTATCTCACCATGGAGCTCCACTAATGAGTCCAGCACGATCATTACGACAGTTACTTGAAGCATCCATGGATTTGTTATAAGCACCAGTCCATGTTAGAATTTCCGCATAAACCCATACAATTGCAACAGAGAACAGCACTGCAAATCGATCACAGATGGGCCTCTTTGATTTTATATATTGAGGAAGATACTGCAAAAGTATTAATGCCCCACAGAATTAGTTTACGACATGAGAAACTTGAAGTCAGAAAACTCATAAAACCCAATTTATATTCATCACATGTACTTCCTTTCCCTATTTAGTTAAAGATGAAGACTAAGGACAGCATACACTCAGCTCAAAATCGAAACACATTAACCTCTCTGTAGAAATCATGGTGACTCTGAGTCAATAGCCCAACATGATCAATCTGTTTTAGGAATTGCCTTAAAAGAACAGGATCACTACGACTGTATGACCTCCATCGTTAATACATCAACCTTTAATAATGGCTCAAATCACACCAATATCAATCCGTTTTCATCCATTTATACCCATAGATATTCTTAACTGTAAACGAATTAGATCAAATGATCAACGAGTCTATAGTCCACTGGATGAAATATTTTGAAACACGGACTACATTACAAAATGAAAACAAAATGAAATGGTGGATGGGTAGCTGACAACCATGAACTACTTGCCTGTGAGATAAGAACCATCAATGCTAACTCTGGAAGCCCAACTTCAACACATTTTGCCAGCTGCAAGTTAAAATCCATAGCATAAAATCTGCTGTTACAACCATTGTCATCAAAATTTCTTTCCTTTCGACATTATATTTTGTTATCGGCGTGGTATCACCATTACATTGAATTTTTTCTCCATCACTTTGGATTATCTTAGAATCCATGAGATCCAAATGGGCACTAAAAGGCGATCTTATTTTTGTTGGTGTATTGATTTATATTTTATACTCGTATTATGATTAGGTTTAATATTCTTGAAGATTTAATGAGAGTTTTGCTCAAGGATATGGCCAACATTAAGAACAAGCAGTTTAGATTTCCTTGATATGGCTCCAGTATGGATCTCTCTGCCGTAATTGCCATTAAATTTGTTTGCTAAAGAATATTTGGAAGAAATTGTTAGGCCAGTGTGTACAATCTTAGCCTTTGGCAGGCCAACTTTGAATCTATCTTTTTATGAATAAGGTCTCTATTGCAAGTCGTTTTTACCAATAAGTGGGTTAATTCACCTAACTATTTCCAAGCCTGTTAATGGAGGAAATCAATGGAAGGTTCGCAATAGTCAAACCAATTTTCCAAAAGTCCAAGATATGATTATGTTTGGGAATCATTTCTTAGAGAGAGAGTTCAAATAGGGGTTTTGAATTTTCAAAATTTTGAAAACTTTTCAATTAGCTAAATCTGTTTATGTGTATAAATCCCGACTATTGAAAGAGAATTGAAGAATCTCCAATTCTTAAGAAATTGGAGGGAAGTTGAACCCGTTTGCTTCTTTCTATATTTTCATTGTGGGGTATCAAGGAGCAATTTTATGGATTGTAATTTGAGTTAATATTCAATGTAACAGTGACACGTCACATAATGCCTCTTCCAAATACCTTTCTAAAGAATCAACCTTAAGGATTGGGCTGGATTCTTTTTAAAATTTCGGTTTTCCACCCCATAACTAGAATTTTAATTTTTGAATTTTGAATAAACTCTCTCTTGCTAAGCTAACAATTAATTAATTGAACCTTAAATGAGAATTATCAGCATTACGGAGAAAGCATATAATAAAAAAAATTAAAATTCTTACCAATGGGAAACCAAGATGATAGAGCCCAAGACCAGTAAAAGAAACCAGAGAAACTATAGATAGTGGGCTGAGAAACCTGCACCACATATTCAGGAAACTCAAAATCCAACAAATAATTTGGACAGTAAATAGGTTTAAAAGATAACACCATATTTTTTGATATCATACTAATTTTTTTTTTATTATTATTGATTTTAATTTGAGATATTTGTAGTTATTAATTATTTAAAAAAAAGTAAATTAAAATAATAAAAAAATTAAATTTTTTGGTAAACAAAGTCTAACTCACCCTTATATTTCCAACCATTGCAATAATAAGGTACCATACTTTTGTGAGACATGGGTGTCGGTTCGACCACACATGCGCGCCGCCTCCCGCCCGCCACAACACCCAACCCAACCCGGCTGGGCTTAAGTGTGGGTGCGAGTGTGATTTAGATCTAACATTATCTTTTAACATAGTCTTAAAAAAAAAAAAAAGCTGCAATAACCCACCTGACAGCATTCCTCCACAAGCCTACAAAACCAATGACCATCTGAAAACCCGAGGCAACAATTAGAGCACCCTGTATACCTCTTATTGTCTCTCCAAATTGCTGACAAAATTACATAAATGGTCAAAATAAGGGACTAAAAATAAAAAGAGTCGAAACCCAAACATCGAAGCACTGAAAATTGTGACAAATTACTGATGAATGAAACATGAACATATGAGTTTATGCAATTCACCTCATAAGGCTCTTGTATCTTTCTATATCTTTTGGCTTGTAGAATAGAAATTGTGGGAATCAAATATGCATATGAACAACCTATCACAGATGGAAGTCTAGTCCCAAAGAAGGAATGCAATAGTGTGTTCACTCCTGAAACAAAGAGTTGGGTCTGTATCACCTTAGCTTTATCAGCCTGCAATGAAAAACAGTGAAAAATTAATCGAGAAATAAATCGGAAAAATTAAAGAAGAATTGTCGAAAATAAGAGATGTCGAAAAATTTACATTATCACCACCCATTTGAGGAACTGTCAGAATTGGAATCAAAACAGTTGTACCAAGAGTCAAAAAATAATGCTGGAACCCCAATACCAGTGCTTCAGCTGCATTACAAAACAAAAACAAAAACAAAAAACACTTTGCATGGTTTTACTTATTCATAATTGCACATACATAATAATTTCCCAAAAAAAAAACCCCAAGAAGAGATTTCACTGTAGTATATTGATAAACAGAGAAAATTAACAATAGATTACAGATTGAAAAAAAAAAAAGAAAAAAGAAAAGGGTAGTCATATGTGAGCATCAAAATTTCGTTTTGGTCACTTAAAAAATAGAAATATTTCAATGAGTTTAAAAAATGTTTCGACTGGTTTTGGAAACAGAATAAAAAAAATAAAAAAATTTAGAATTTTTTTTTCCAAAACATTGCTCAAAGGAATTATCTCCCAAAACAATTGTGCAAATATATTGAAACATTACAAAACTCTTCGAAATATTATGAAACACATCGAATTATTAAAATTTTGATTCAATCACTAATTCGTTTTGGATCCCATAACCTTAATCTTTTGATATAGTGTGTGTGTGTGTGAGAGAGAGCGAGAGAGAGGGAGGGAGCACAGACGCCATGGAGGTGGACTGTTGACGCAATATTGAACACCAGGCAACTGTTCCATCACCGGATGAGGCTGTAACGCCTCAACTTTCTTAGCTTCGCCGCCATTTGCGTTGGCCATTGTTGCAGCTCGGAGAATAGAGATGAATATGCAGAATGATTAAGAAATAAAAACGTCTTAACTTGTGTTTTTTGTAACTTGTAATGATAAAAGCAACATGAATGCGTAGAATTTGTGAAAATATGAAATTTAATTTCATCATTAATGCAATGAAAAGGAGTTTCGGTAACAATCAAGAGTATTATTTTGCCAAATTAGCACTATTAATTCTCAAAATATTTCCTCACCCAATACTATTAACTGTGAATTACACTGAGGTCTCACGAAATTTATCATTTAATCACTCAGATTCACTGATATTTGAAATATTACACACAAATTCCTTGAATTTTGTATGCGCGTAATACTTAGACCTCTGATATAAATATATTCGTTAATAAATTATATTTAAATCTCTTGAAGTTTATGGGTATATAATATTTAGATACCTTAAATTTAAAATATTGTATTTAGATTAAAAATATTTCAATCAAAGATATTTTAAATTTTACAACTAAAATTCATGTTCTATTATATCATTTATTGAAATAAAATTAAAGTAAAAATTTAATTTTTTCTTAAAAATCGTAATTAGTATACAATTATACTATATATTGAAATAAAACTAAAAAATCAAGCAAATGGTTAACTCATTCATAATAGAACATGTCATTTATTGAAATAAAATAAAAAATAAAAATCTAGTATTTTAAAAAAAATCATAGTTAGTATATAATTATAGTATCTATTAGAATAAAACTAAAAAATTAAATAAATGGTCAAACTATAAAATAACTCAAAATATTAGAATTTTGATTTCATCGCTGATTTATTTTGATTTTTAAAAATAAAAATATTTCAAAACGAAATTTTGATTCTACGTAAATCCTCTCGTCTACGGCACAAAATAACATGTAGAATCATCAAATTTGATTTTAAATTCTTCAACCGTTACAGAGACGGAAGCAAGAGATCCCGACCACTTCCTTCACCATTCTCGTGTCTGTTTCTCAGTTCCAATTAAGGCACTGCCAACATTTTCATTGTCTTCTTGTTACAAATTTAGGTATTTTATTACTTGAAGGCAAAATGGTGAAACAAGTCAAAGAGTAATTGGAGATCTCAAGTAAAGCAGAGATCTTTGGATCATTGGGACTTTTTCAACCGTGTGTCTCTCTCCTTAGGTAATTACCGAGGTGGCAGCAACTCTCTCTGAAATCAATTTTTCCGTCGTCGTAGTGGAACTACTAATCTATTAGGCTTTTACTTTTACTTGAACTGCCAAAGACTCAATTTTTTTTTGTTGCGGTATCGTCCTTCTAAAATTACGTTTAACACCCTTTTATGACTTTTCCGATACCCAAGCATCCACGAATTTCTATTCATTTGAGAACCCAAATTTGGAATGCCTAATATTTTCCAAGATGAAATGGATGGGTATTTATAAAGGTTATTTGATCGTGTATACTAACCAAAAAATATAGATCAAATGAAGTGACATTTATCATAATAAAATAATTTTAAATTTTCAAATATATAAAAATGAAACTAACAACACCATTATGCTAATATCACATGACTACTCTAATTAAAAAAAAAATAGCTCGACATTCAAGGCATTGATTAAATTGAATTCAGTGATGAATAGTCTGCAACGGTTTCCTTTTTCTTTTACTTACTTCTTCAAGTATAGAAGCTCACAATCACCAAGTTCACAAGTTATTTGAAACTCAATATAGTCAACAAAACATTATTGTTGATGATGTACAAAATTATCTTTGTGTAAGATCAACAGTCAAGCATATATAAGAACACAATTAATAAGTGACAAACAAGCAATCAATGACAATTAATAGTAAAACAGTAAATAATAGATCAACATAGGGATTTATAGTGATTCAGTTCAGGTGACCTACTCCACTCTTGAGAACGACAGTGGTGGCCCGGTTTTCTTTATTAATGAATCATGGTCTCCGAAGAGTTACAGTGCTTTTGAGAAAGAGAAAGAAAGAGATGTGTGTAGAGAGGTGTAGTATGTGTAGGGATCTCAAGGTTATGAGAGTCTCTGCCCTTTATATGGAGAGAGTTTACATTATATAGGTGTGATGACTTCTACTGTTTTAGTAAGTACAACTATGGTAGGAGATCTCTGTGTCTATCCCGACGTTTTCTCCCTCGTGTTCCTATTTTTTCAGAGGAGAGTCTTGAACTGGATTGAGTTCGTATTTGACTTTAGGCTTGGACCCGGAGTGATCGTGGACTTACATTGGAGTGAAGTGAGGGAGGGAGGATGGGCAAGGCATGAATGACACCCACTTGAGGCCACATGGGCGACGCCCACTTGGAGTCTTCATTGGTGACACCCCTTGGGTGCCTTGGGCGGCGCCCTCTTTAAGGATGGACTTGATTTCTGTTTTGGACTCCCACTTGATTCCTTGGTCGATTCATCTGTTCTTGAACTTTTTTTTAGGCTTTTTTGACTTATTTTTATTGGACTTGATCTAGTAAAATTCGGATTTATCATTTGTCTCACATGCTCCAAGCCTCTGACTTTTTCGAGAGAAAGGGGTCGCGGGTATGTACTTCGTCTTCATTGGACTGAGTCGAAATTTTCTTCATCTTCATAACTCCGCTGTATTAATCGGTATCCAACATAAATTATTATTATTATTATTTTTTTGGCGCCGGTCTGGTTCAGAGATAACTGAATAAAATACAAAACTCGGCATGACTTTGAGTTTGGAATGATGCGGGCATACCTGGAATAAGGACAAGTCAACAGAATAGTTCATTATTTTTTATTTAGGCTCATCAACTGAAATCCACAGATTGTGGGCCTTGATGTTGTGAGTCTCTCAAATAAAAAATGGTACAAGACCAAAAAGGGCGACGCCTCCTTTATTTTATTGTTTTTTTTTCTTTGCTTTTCTTTGGTTCCTGGGCGCCGCCTACCTACTTTTCTTTTTTTTTTTTTTTTTCTTTTTTCTTTCTTCTCCTCGGCTGCTTGGGCTGCCTCTCTTCCCCTCTCTTTTTTTTTTTTTTTTTTTTTCTTTCTTCTTTTTTTTCTTGGCCTGCTGGGCGCCGCCTTCCCTCTTTTTCTTTTTTTTTGTTCCGTTCTTGGTCTGGCTGGGCACCGCCCTTTGCTCCTGTTCTTTTTTTTTGTTTTTTTCTTTTCTTGGTTTGGCCTGGGCGCCGCCCTCCCTCCTTTTCTCGTTTTCCTTTTTTCTTCCTAGCCTGGTTGGGCGTCGCCTCCTGGGCGCCGGTCTTTTTTCCTTTTTTTTTTTCTTAGCCTCTTTGGGAGCTGGTCTTCTCTTTTTTTTTTTTTTGACTTCTCTGGACGCTAACTCCTTTTTTTTTTTTTTTTTGCACCTTCAATTGGCTGGGTGGGAGGAGAAATGGGAGGTATAGAAGGAGACTGGACAGGTGCCTTCGACGATGCCAGAAGGTTGGTAAGGCGCCTTGAGAGACGCCAGGAAGCTGGGCAGACGCATTGGGAGACACCAGAGGTTGGGCAGGTTCCTTGAGGGACACCAAGAAGTTGGCAGGGCACCTTGGGTGACGCTAGGAGGCTGGTCAGGTGCCTTGGGCGACGCCAGGAGGTCTTAGCGCCTTGGTGTGTTTGGGGGATACCTTGAATCTTGCTATGGGCGGCCTCTGGTGTTTGGTCACTAACAGATCTTGCCTTTAATTACAAGTGCTCTGTTGCTCTGGGACTCTCTCTGTTTTTAGGATGGTGTCCTTCCCTTCTCTCAAGAGGGCGAGGTTTGATGCCCCCAGTATTTTTCAACTAACGTCTGATGGCCAGGTTGCTTTTCGGGAGTAAGGTTAGGTGGTGCCTCCACTCCTTCCCAAACTATGACCCCTGTGCGCATAGCAAAAACAATATTATCCCAACATTAAATATCCAACATGATTACCTGGAGAAAGAGAGAGAGAGCAAGCTATTTGCATGAGAACAAAGTTGGAGATGTGGACATCCCGTGATAGGGTCACATGAACTGAGGCCAAGCTACGTATAGTCTCGGAGATGGCTGTCGTGGCAGAGGTGACTACTTGCGCGAGAATAGTCATAAAGGTCGAGCTATGTATAGTCTCGAAGATGGCTGGAGATCTGTCGTGGCAGAGGTGACTACTTGCGCGAAAGTAGAGTCATAGAGGCCGAGCTACGTATAGTCTCGGAGATGACTATCGTAGCAGAAGCTTACTAGTTGACTTGTGTGAGAGCAGAGTTATAGGCCGAGCTACGTATAGTCTCGAAAAATGGCTACCGTAGCAGATCCTTTGCTTTGGTATGTCCCGCACTCCTCTTTGGCTTTGTACCTGACTTTCTTTCTTTATACTTTACTTTTGGGTGCCCTGCAAGTGGCTACTGCTTTGCCCTGCTTGTTTACCAGTACACTGAAGATTAGGGAGGCAATCAATGGCTAAGTAGTGGAGAGGTGGGCACGTGAGACTGCTGAAGAGCAGTTAGGGCTCGGACGGCAGGCACGAGAGGATGCCACAGAGCAAGTAAGGCTCAGGTGGCAGGCACAAGAGGATGCCAAGAAACAAGTAGGGCCCGGGCGGCAGACACGAGAGAATGCCACGGAGTAGTAGGTAGAGTTACATATAGCTCAGAAGAAGGCGGTCATGGTGGAGACTCATTCCATTGAGATGGAAATGAGGAGGGCTCAAGGGAGTTGGGCGCCTGGTGAGAGGGGTGAGACCCATCGTCGCTTGGTGGAGAGTGTGAGACCCCTCATCTGGGCGCATTTTGTTGGATGCCTGATAAGAGTGCCATTGTTGATTTTTCTGGCTTCGTCCCCCACAAGGCACCAGTAATAGTTGGTGACAGGGAGAGCCTTGATTATATTGGTTGTGGCTCAGGGAGCAGTAACTGATTGTCGGGAGTATAATAATTAGTCTTTTTGTCTACACCTTGTTGCTAAGTCATGTTTTGACTTTTATAAGTTGTTTGTAAGTTTCAGGAAAGCAAGACAATTCAGACATAATAATATTCGCAGAATTTCATAAAATAATAAATAATAACATAAATAAACTAAAACAATAAAGGATATATGAGAATCACTGGCTTCCATGATCGCCATATTGGCTTTCTCCTTCGTCTTCGTCCTCTTGGCTCAAGTACGTGTGGAGAGGGAACACGTGAGCTCTCCGCACGCTGAGGAGGGACCACTGGGTGAGGGGCGCCTTAGTGTGGCCTTGGGGCATTTTGGTGAGGGACTCCATGTTGGGGTGCTGCATGGCGCCCAAAATGGATAGGTTGTGACTCCTTTATTGTTAGAGGGAGTAAGGCTCCTCCCACTAGTTGAGGGGCGACAGGTTGAGGAGTGACCCCTCCTTAGGCGAGCATCAACTGAATGATCTGCTAGTTTTGCTTTACCAGCAGCTGCATATTCTGTAAGAGCTGTTGCTCGGCGACGGGGGTTGCCATAGCAGATAGTTCCGAGAGTGTGAGGGGAGGCGGGGCCTCCTCCGGGTGAACGAGGTTGTTGTCTCCCAGTTGTTGAGACCTTGATTTGGTCGTGATTGTCATGGATTGCAAGATGATAGAAACGTAGTAGAAACTTTGTCGTTCCCACAGACGGCGCCAAACTGATGATACACAAAATTGTCTTCGTGCAAGATCAACAGTCAAGTATGTGTAAAGGTGCAATTAATGAGTGACAAATAAACAAACAATGACAATTAAGAGTAAACTAGTAAATAATAGATTAACACAGGGATTTACAGTGGTTCGGTCCGGGTGACCTACTCCACTTTCGGGAACGACATCAGTAGCCTGGTGTTCTTTATTGATGAATCATGGTCTCCGGAGAGTTACAGTACTTTTGAGAGAGAAATGTGTGTAGAGAGGTGTAGTGTGTGTAGGGATCTCAAGGTTATGAGAGTCTCTGCCCTCTATATGGAAAGGGCTTACATTATATAGGTGTGATGAGGCGGTGACGTGAGGAGGAAGACTTCTACTATTTTAGTAAGTACATCTATGGTAGGAGATCTCCGTGCCTATCTCGGCGTTTTCTCCCTCATGCTCCTATTTTTTCGGAGGAGGGTCTTAAACTAGATTGAACTTGTACTTAACTTTGGGCTTAGACCCGGAGTGATCTTGGACTTGCATTGGAGTAAAGTGAGGAGGGGAGGATGGGCAAGGCATAGATGACGCCCACTTGAGGCCATGCCCACTTGGAATCTCCATGGGTGGCGTCCCTTGGGTGCCCTGGGCGGTGCCCCCTTTGAGGATGAGCTTGATTTCTGTTTTGAACTTCCACTTGACTCCTTGATCAATCCATCTATTCTTGAACTTTTCTTTGGGCGTTTTCAACTTATTTTTATTGGATTTGGCCCAATAAAATTCGGACTCATCAACTGTGATATTGAAAAATTTTGATCACAAAAGAACCATTGTACATCTTATCGAAATGTCAGATTAACTTTAACATATACTTTTCACAATATGAGGATCTATCTAATCCATCTCTATGGGAAACGAGGAAGAGAATCACTATGCAATTGATAAAACTCGACCCCAAATCATGTGTATTGGTGGACAACTTTATAACCACTTAAACAAACTCATTTTGCTCAAGGACAAAGCGGGCAATTATTAGTACACGTCTTAACATTCAGATTTGGGCTATCCACCACTTATTTTTGAGGATTTTTTGGGTCAAAATTGCTCAATACACCATTGATTGGAACAGAAGTTTTGTAGTATGTGAGACTATATAAAAACAAGCAGGCAGTCCACCTATGGTCTGCAGAGACTAGATAGAAATATGTTCCACCACAAATGGTATTAAGAAAGAGAAGAACTTTAAACAAAGGCATATGCAGTAACGCAATGGGTAGAAGAATAAGAGCATCGTGATGAACTATAGATATGGATAATGGAACGTTAGAAACTGTGAGATTATCTCTCACCATAAATTAAACCAGGGAAGAAAGGTCCTAAGCTGCAAAACACCCAAAAACATAAATCTACAATACAGTGATTCAATCAGCTGCGAGTGAAAGAGTACAACATAAACCCTACGCCTGCTACAGGGTCACGAGGCACACACCCCCACCCTCCTAGAGGTGCAACTTGGACGCGTCAACCCAAATTCAACTGGAAAAAATAGGACTTGGGTTGAAAATTTAATACTTGAGTTGGACCTGAGCCAAAAAACCATAACCCAAATTGAATTCGGGCAGGCCTCAAGTTGATACCTCAAATTTTCGGGTTCAACCTAAATCCGACAAATTAAAAAAAAAAAAATATATATATATATATATATATATATATATATATATATATATATAAAGCATTAGCACTAGAGTTTTTCATTTTTGGTCTTTACATCTCACCGTGCCTCTCTCGTTCTCAACCTCTCTCCATATCTCAGGCTCTCTCTTACTCTCTCTCAACCTCCCTTTGACTCCCTCTATGTTTCGAAGACAACAACGATAGTAAAATTTAGTGACTTTTACATTTCAGATTTGGTGGCTTTTGTATCTCCGATCTGGTGGAGATCTAGTGGCTATGACACCGAAGACCACAACTATGGTCAGATCTGGGGACTATAGGAAACGTCTGTGGTGTGGTGGTTGTGTGGGCAGCGAAATAGTAGCTGTGGTTGTTGTGGTAGTGACAGTGGCTATGGACAGTGTTTGTGGTGACAGTGGCAGTAGCTATGGGGTAATGGTTGTGGTGGGAATGGGGTAGCTATGGTATTTTGAATTTTTTAGTTTAATTTCTTTGTGGTATGTTTTTATTGAGTCTTGTAATTTTTTTTCATCTGATTTATAACCCGAAATTAACCTGAATTAAAAAAATTCAAATTCAATCTAAACCCGCCGAAATCCAACTTGGATAATACTCAAGTTGAGTACCTCGGGTTGAAGACGGGTTCGGGTTCGGGCTTGGGCTCGGGCTTGGATTAAATATTATATATGTAAGATTAGACTAGATTTGAACCCCGTTCAACCCGCCCGAGTTGCACACCTATCCCCCCTCCCCCTCACACACAAAATAGAAAAAAAATACTGACTTCAGAAGATTAACTCTTACGTTGTGAGAAATAAGGAGCCAAACCCAAAATCACCTTCACTCCCGGATAAAGCATTTCAGAAATGGAAGTGGAGGCTTATACTGGAAATAACATCGTGGTCAATGTATCCCCTCAATAGTGAAGACTCGGATGATTTTGTTCATGAAGTCTGGCATACCATGTTAGGAACAAAGACAACCTTCCAAAGCAGCCGTCGTAAAGTAGAAATGATTATGAGCAAAAACATTATCCGAGGCAGCAATGCAACACAAGTGCAAGTTAGGAAATACATGGAGAGGGTTTAAGAGAAGAAGTTGAAAAGGAATGAGAACACAGCCCCTCAACAAAGTTCATGAAAATGATATTCGGAGGGGAAAATGATACAACAAGAATTAAGCCACTCTCAAGATTTGCAGGAGGCTAGTAACTTATAGGGAACAAAAGCCCCCGTCGTGGGCTGGTGTTTATTATCAATTGCAGGAACAATACCAATGGCAGTAGTCAATGCATATAAAGTGCATCCAGAAAATATCAGGTCAAGTGATCACTACCTCAACTCCCAAAAAAAGTAAGGATATGCATGTAAACACGGGCCAATTCAAGCCATATCAATAATGATTCAAAGAGATGCCAACAGGAAAGAAAGCTATATACAGTAGAACAAAAGCATAATAACAACACTCTTAACAGCTTAATCCTAACATACAAAATATCTAAACTCTATAGAGATTCACCACGGCAGAAATGAAATGCATCAGTGACAGAACCAATATAGAAGACAAGCTTCAGTTATGCTCTATAATTGCGATCCCTGTGCTTCAACCGGCCATTGTTTTTCTTCTTGTCCTCCCTAGTCTCCATTCGTGAACCTGAGCACATAGAAATTCCTCTTTAAATGCAAAATGGAAGAGAAAGTATTAAAAGAGAGGATTCTCCTAATTTCTGGTTCGCAGCTGAGGAAACAAATTACTAATGGTTCATTTTTACGAATTTAGAGAGGACAATATTGAGTTGGCTCCTGAAACTTGTAACACAATCAGCCTGAGAGTAATTTCTCAAAGCAAAAACTTCTCCAAAACAATGCGGGAAAGTTCACAATGACATCAGATAATACCTCAATTGTTACTTGAGAGCAAAAAGAGGAGGAAGAGGAAAGAAAAGGGGAAGGGGGGGGGGGGTTGAGTTGACTTATAATGATTTTACTCCCATTGTCCCTCATGTCAGCCAGTCAAGATTCGACTGCGCTGGTGTCAAGGCACCAATTACTATTAGTGAGGGTTGAAAACTCTGCAATTTCTTCATACCACATTTTTTAGATGATATAATCTTATTCGGCCCACGAGAGCTCAATGTTGAATAATTTCAGGCTTTCAATAGCCAAGCTAAAAAATCATGTATTTGAACTTTGAGCTAGTTAAGAAGCATAAATTATAAAGTCCGTTAGTATCTAGTCACAAATGGCTTTCTCAGCAAACGAACTTGAAAATGATTGAAGAGAAACAATATACTTCTGCGAAGAAGAGCAACATAAACCACGGTACGAGTTGGAAAAATTGTTTAAAAACCTGGAAGTGTAGTTGGAAAATTGTTTAAAAACATGGAAGTGTAAGTTTTGATATGAATTTTGTGCAACTGATCCTACCATTTTAGAGGTGGTAGTATGGAAGGAGTTAACAACACATCTCTAAATTAGCAGTAAGATCACCCTTGGACCTTTACACTCACTTCTCCTTGTCATATTAGATTAATATCGAAGGGTCTTATTCACCTAGTTAACAACCAATACTGATTCAACATTCAAGGCATTATTTACATAAAATGTATACATAATTGCTTTTATTACATTATTCCTATGTTAATAATTTTTACAGCATCCTGTTCAAAAAATATTTTTTACAGCAAGAAATAAGTCCAAAATATTCATAGTAAAATCAGTTAAATAACATAAGTCAATACACACAAACAGCAGAAATTGTTACCTGAGCTTGGAATTTCAGGACCATTAGTATCAGAAACCTCTCCTTTCCTAACCCACACAAAGTTACAATCTCTCTGCTTCCACATTTTCCAGCGATCGGGCCGACCAGAATTCCAATTCCTCTGATAATTATCACGAATCTCCACGGTTGACTTCACATTGCGCTCTCGCCACCCATTGAGTGAGAAGCCCTCATACTTCCCTTGAATCTTCACCGTCGATCTCACATTGCGCTCTCGCCATCCATTGAGTGACAAGCCCTTATACTTCCCTTGAATCTCCACCGTCCGATCCGCTGAAACTTTCTGGTCATCGACATTATGCTGGAATTCACTTCTGATCCCCTCCTTTTCATCGTTTTCCTTAAGCACCGGCAATTTCTTCTCCGTCTCGTTATCCATTAGTAGCTGTTCCGTACTTCCATTTAGGTTTTCCCCCACCCTAGGTTTTCTCTTATTCCTCCTATCCTTCTTCTTCTTCTTCTTCTTCTTCGATTCATCGGTCTTTTGTTCCTCATCGCAGACCACAACACCTTTGTCTGTCGATTCCTCCGATTTCGGTTTGCTAACTTCGATCGAACGAAAAACTTTTTCCGATTGATTTAACCGAAACGACCGGCGAGTGACGACGGATACAGTTTTGGCGTCGTTTCGAGCTCCAGTCTCGTTCTGACTTCCATTTTCTTGTTCTTTTCTCTGCCTTGGTTGTTCTTCATCTTTTTTCTTTTGATGATTTTTGAGCCAGCGTTCTTGGAGTTGTGCCAGCGACAAGTAGTTCGAAGGAAGCGATGTATACTTTTTCTCTTCCTCCATTGAAGCTCAAACAAAGTCTGATTCAGCGATCAGCAACCGTAACATTAGTGTTTCCTGTGAATGAAAACAGAGAGGACGGAGAGAGAGGGGGGAAGGGGAGGGCGAGGCGAGCTGTTGGGAGATAGAAAACTTGTTGAAAGTGTTTCCTGTGACACCTTTTTTATTTGTATAATTTATAATTTATACCCTCAAAATATGCACATAATTTTTATTTGATCTCTGAAGTTTTAATGTAAACAATTATATTCCTAGAGTTTTAATCATGTTTCAATTCAATTCTTCTATCAAAATCAATTAATTTATTCGGATAGAAAAATGTCACTGGAGTTGCCCATAAAGGTATATTTGTCCAATAAAAAATATATCTTTCAAATGCATTAATATTATTCTCCTTGTTTCACAATATCTTTCAAATTATTGCTCCTTGTCTTTTTTTTTTCTCACTAAATAAGATGAAATAAAATAAAAAAATTTACCAAATAAATATATTTTTTTTACTAAATTTATCATTTTGTCATAATCAATTTAATTACACTGAAAGTCTCTAAAATATAGAGTTTATTTTATTTTAGTTCTTAATGTTTTAATTGTCTTATTTTAGTCCTTAAAGTATTGAATATATTTTCTATATAGTTTCTCAAACAGACAGCATTTAGATTGCTAATAATTTTTTATTATAAACTTGTCATGTGATATCTAAATATAGACAAAAAATAATTTACTAGTTCTTAAACAAAGTTTGAGTAATTCTTGACAAAAAAATGTCTAATATAGGTAACTTTTGGCCTAAGTTTGGATAACTTATGATAAAAAAATATGTAATTTAGGTAGCTATTTAACTAAAATTTGAATAAAAGTTTAGTCTAGGGTTATGCAAATTATTTTTTTGTCTATATTTAAGTATTACGTGATAAGTTTATAATAAAAAAAATCGTTAGTAATCTGGACGTTGTCTGCTTGAGAGACCATATAGAAATATATTCAATACTTTAGGGATCAAAATAATGCAATTGAAATATTGGAGACTAAAATGAGATAAATTTTATATTTTAAGGACTTCAATGCAATTAAACCTAAAAATTAAGGGTATCAATTATAATTTATCCTTTTTTATTTTTCGCTGTTATTGGTTTGTTGCCTGAATGGGATTTTGATTTTTGCAGTTAACTTCAAACTAAATGGACTTAGCTTTATCTATAATAACGGAACTGCCATTATATGTGTTTTTCTTTCTGAGCAAGCAAGTCCATAGAAAGACTAATCTGTTGATCTGCATCAAGAAAAGTTGACTGCGTTAAGTTTAGTCTGTAGTCATTTTCTATGCCATGAAGCCCACCAACCAACCCACCCGGGCCACGCCTACTGATGTGAGGCTCGCATTAAAACCTGTACTCATTTTTAATTAAATATAAATATTCTAACTAATGCCCCTACACGAACATAATACCGTACCTTTCATGTTGTTAAATCAAAGATATAAGGCTTGAGCATGTAAAAGTAGGCAAAAAACTCCAATGTTTTCACAGCCATGCAGGCGGTAGAAAATCACCGATTGTAACACCACCCAACACTAGAATTGCCACGACCGATTGCCAAATAAATAACTAATTGAATCAAATACTCAAAAAACGTACCCATTTCAATTATGCGCCAAAACCATATCATAGATTCGTAACTGGTTTTACGAAACAAAAACAAAAAGTATAAAATTAATAACAGAACTGAAGCCCTTGGATTACCTGTTACATTGTAGACCTCTTTCTCAATGGGGGCACCAGTGGGAAGCCAAACAATTGCAACGACACACCCATGAAGGAATTGTGGGCTGCCTGTCAAACAAAGTTTCTTTTTTTTTTTTTCGCTTAATTGAGACAAAACAACAATAGTTTGAAATAACATACAACCCCATAAAATCTACTGTCCACGAAAATTCCTACCAGAACACCCAAAAAAAAATTCCTACAAAATCTAATGATGTTCACATTGAACTAAGACAGAATTGATTAATGTGAAAAGCTAGTGGTATTCGATGGGTGCCGAAAGAGAGAATGAGAGAGGGAAATGTACAGGATAGTGTTTGAGAATTTTTGTTGAACATTTGGTGGTTGTGGTTTGATTTGGTCGATAGAGAGAACAGAAAGGGGCTGAGGCGGTGGTGGTGAAGAGGAAAAGGGGTTGTGGCTGTGGCAAACAGTGGTGAATGGCAATGGGCAGGCGGTGATGGGCGGTGCGCTAGAGAGAGAGAGAGAGATGTGCTATGGAGTTGTAGGATTGCTGAGTGATTTACGGTGGAGTGGAGGGGGGAGTGAAATTGGCAGGATAAGAGGAGGAGAGAAAGGAGTTATACTTGGACAGGTGGACTACTGGGTGTAAGTTGGTGGTGTGGATGGAGTCTAGATTGGGGAATGAGAGAGAGAGTGATAGAGAAGTGCCAGAGAGAGAAGAGAGGTACCTGTCATGGTTCGTAGAAGAGACAGTGACTGGTGGAGATGTACGGAGAGAGACAGAGGGTTTCATCGCCGTCGCTAGGGGAAGACATTAGACTTGAATAGGTAACATGACAATTCTTTTTTGGTACGGAAAGGAGATCAAAGAGATCATATTCTGTTAAGGAAAGAAGATCAAAGATATTGTCTCGGTGCTGCGTTATGTGTGTTGTGAATTGGGGCGAGAAGAAGAGAGGAGAGAGGGAGAGAGAGGTAGAGTTGGGGCCAGCCAGTAATTTCTAGATTTGATTGTGTTGAGTCGGTTAGGAGAATTTAATTTAGGCAATGTTAATTTTTCAAATTACAAATTTTGTGTGGCAAAAAAATTTCAACAGTTATTTTGGTATGTTAGATCGAAACGATATGAGACGTCAATAGTTTGAGATAATTTGGGATAATATTGTCCGTTAAAAGATATTTTTTTGGTCACGAAACAATCTGAACCATTATTTGTCTTCAAAATTATTCTATTTTGTTATATAGATTTCACATTATATTAGTGGGGAGCGGATAGAGTTGTTAATCGAGTTTGTCAAGTTCGACCAGTATAGATTTTATTCGAGTCGAGCTTGAATAATTTTTTAAACTTGTTTAAACGGGCCTAAAAAGTTCGGCTTGAACTCTTAAAGTTCAAATCGTTTATATGTAAAGTCCGACTCGAACTCGGATTCGGGCTTGACTTATTTTATAAATAAATTGAATTTGAATAATTTTTAAAACTCATTTAAAAAAACGAGCTGGACAAGTTTGACCCGATTATCAACCCTAGAAGTAAAAACTTTACAATACAAGTAACTATTGGGTGTGACAGTGACCACGTCATCCTACTTATGAAACAACAAATATGATTGATGACCTCCATAATATTAAAATGATAGTTATTAAATAAGGTGATTATTAGTAATTATTAAAACAACATAATAGGAAAAATAAGTTTATGTTGAGAAAAATAAGGTTTCATATACAGGAGCACAGAAACCCAAACGTAGCTGATCCTTTTGAAGAGGAGAAAATATGTTATTTAAATTTAATTTGAAATTTAATTTAATATAATCATTAAATTAGAAGTGGATTATATTTAATATTAAAACTCGCAACTACTTTAATGACTATATTAAATTAGGTATTTGATTGTATTCTCACTTCAGGTCTCTATACAATTGCTCTGAAAAACATAAATAAATAAAGGTTCGACACACTAAAATGTTGGGCCTGTTTGGAGGTCCAAAATAGCAGTTTGAAAACTGAAATAAAAAAATCAGAGTTTAAAAAATTCTTGGAATCATTTGGAGTATTTTCGAAAAATACGATTTTTTCTTAGAAGCCCTTGGATAAGTCCCATTTTTTAGTTTTTTCTTTTGCTGATAAAAGTTGTTTTTATCCAAAAAATTGATGAAAAAGCTGTTCAAAAAATTCGAGTCTAAATGGACCAGACTTTTTTGCTTTGAAACCGAAAAAAGCTAGGATTTTAAGCTAGTTTTAAACAGGCCAATCGACAAACTTAAAATTTGAGTTTCAAATTGCTCTAACAACACCTACTATGCGTTTAAAGAATGGATTCTTTCCGATTCTATGCTTTAGTATTAACCATTTGTGTTTTAATCTTCAATCAAATTAGGATACCTTATAACAGCCCGGCTTTGGCTTGTTCCAAATGTAAAGTAGTAGATCAACCATTCTCAAATACTAGTTTTGTTACATGCACGATTTTAAGGGATTTAGAAGATAAAAAAAATAGAATAAAAAAAAAGAGATTTGTTTCGAGGGGTAGAAATTTCTGTTAGTTGATTTTGAAGAACTTGATCTTCCAAACCTTTACAAGAAAGTTTATTACAAAAAATCTCATCATTTTCATTTATCTCACGTCTTTAAATACATATTGATAACACCAAATAGATAACTACTGAATCTCTTAACCCAACTGTTTGTATAACTACCAAAAAAACCAATTAATACTGTATCACTTACTTATTAACCAATTCAAAAAAAATAAAAAAAAAATTCAAACTCCTATTACTATCTTACAAAAATATAAAAAAAAAATAGGCACATAACAATCCTTTTCCCTTAAAAATTTTTGTCTCACATAAAATAAAGAAAAGTAGAATAGGGAAAAAAAAAAACTGCTTGAAGGGAGTGAAAAACCTCCGTTGGTTCACTTCAAGGAAAATCTAAACCTCCAAACCTTTCACAAGAAAGTTTATCACATAATATCTCATTCATTCATCTGATGTCTTAAAATTCAAATAGATAACTAGCGGGACTCTAGGTGGCTCTGCAGTCTCCAGGTTGACAAGTGAAATAATGGAGCCGTCGGGATATCCAAAGGGTGACGAGGAGGAAAGCCGAGGTGTGGTGACACGGAGCTGCCGAGTAGAACAACTGACATCGTATTTAATGCGATGTGACTCCTCATTTATGGCGGAATGAATGATAGTAACAAGGCAAATAAATGCGCATCTGCCAGTACCTGCCCTCTAGGAGTCTAAGCCTACTGTCATAATGACTAAGCATTAATGACTGATGCGCTGAGACAACATGATCGGCTCTCCCAAGAACTGTTCCCCCGAGTATTTTATGCTCAATTGATGTCGGATGTCGATCTATGGGATTTGGGTACTCGGGGAGTGGCATAAATGCTCAGCATTTGGTCA